ACGGATATTGAAGACACAATGATGTTTATATTACTTACTCTTTTATTATTATTATTTTTTATCTGACAAACATCGATTTTTTTGATGGAACTTTTCTCCTATTTCTGTTGAGGAGACTTTATTTAAGTACATAATATTGGAATCCTTTAGAAAACATTTTTTTGTCTTATGGTCTAAAAGTGTAACAATGTAAAACACACAAAAAAAAAAAAAAACATTATAAAAAAGCAATGCAATTGTGTGTCTGTTCTAAACGATATATAATGAGTATTTGGGAATAACCACAAACTTTTATAATAATAATTATAATATGAAATAATATCAAGTCATGCGGCAGTTAATAATGATTATGTCCATTTTAAACCTCGTCCCCATCGCCCCCTTGTCTTCTCATCCTCTCATCGTCTCCTTCACTCTCCTCGACTTCACCTCCACCACCTCCAGGGTCCAGACCCCGGGGGGAAGACATCTCCTAAACATCATCTAATCGACCACATCCTCCATCGTAATGTCTTCTGCTGGAGTCTGAGCGCCAAAGATAACTCATTCAATAAAGTTTATACTAACACTTCTCTTTGTGTCTGTCTGAGTCTCTCCAGGTTGAAATAAGTTTGTTTACATTGCCTCATACGTGCTCTCATGTCCTGGTGTTTCTTCAGTGGTGATGCATGATCATAAACAAAACAAACAAACAAACAAAAAATGTATTTAGATTAAGAAGGTCAGAGAAGGGCATGATGATGATGATTCATGATGGGAACAAACAAAACAACAAAACAAAATTGATGCATTTGGAGCATACAAATGTATCAAAACTGCTCCTGTCACATTTGTGTCACTGACTCATGGTCCAGAAACACACCAAATGTCTCAGATCAGTGGTGTCAGGAGAAGATCAGGGAAGGGCATCTGGCTTAAAAACATGTTTGGATGATAAAAGTGGTAAATAAAAATGAAACACAAATACACAGGATGTAACATTCACCAGAGCATCAGGGCGAGAGTGTGGGTTCTTCTGAAACAGTCTGTGGTTCAAACTCGATATATACAAAAGAAGAACAAAGACAGAGAGAGGCAGAGAAAGGAAGGGACATTTTAAAAACAAGTTCCTTAAATATGTACAAGGTATTTATTTAAATGTGTTCTTACCTTTGAGAACAGTAATCTGAAATGTATCGTAACCATCAACCCACACGTGACCAGACCAACGAATCCTTTCCAACTTGCACTGGTATTGTCCAGAGTCAGACAGCTGCACCTTCTTGATTCTCACTCTCTTGTCTGTTCATCATATTGAAGAGTGTATCTGTCTTTCTCAGCTCTGACTCCTGTAGTCTCCACCAAAATGTTTCTTTTTTTATAACAGTCATTTTTACAGACGAGTCTTTTACCTCCAGATCCATAAAACCAACATTGTGCTGTGAAGTCTTGTCCCTCTGTGATTGTGTGAGTCTCTCCAAATACGACACCAGAAAGTTCTTCACTCAGCACTGTTCAACATTTGGAAAAATCACACATTTAGTCAAATCCAAAGTTTACTCACAGAGAACCTGGATCAGAATTGTATTATATCTCATGTTTGTTTTCGCATAAACAGAGTAACTTCTTTAATTATTTAACTCAAAACATAAAAAAAAAGTTGCAAATATATCAAAGGCCAAAAATTTTGAAACTTATTTCTAAAGCATTTGTATAGAAATATAATTGTCATGTGGTAATACAGGAAGTGCTCCACTGTGTTTTTAATCTAAAGGTAATAGGTCACCATAAACTTGAGCATTTTGATTATAGGAGATTCAGACTAATGATTTGGCATTACTCAAACATGTAAATGAAACAAAACACATCTCCAGGTCTGTTCTTGATGAGGTAACAACATTTTGATAGCAACAATAATTTAAGATTAACAACACTCGGCCTCAGTCAACAGGGAAACGTGGCTCTTGCCCCGTCTGGGAGTATGACATCATCACATTCTAGAACCTGAAAACCTCCCAGTTCCATCAGGTTCACGGCGCCGATGACATCATACATGTAAAGTTCCATAAAGCCTTGTTACCATGGCAACTCCGGAACTCAAAGCTAAACTTCAGAGCTCTGTGGGCTTTAACTCAAAGCTTTGTTTGGCCTCGGGGAGATTATAGGAGTAGGCAAATCGAAAATCACAAATCGAAAATCACATATCGCTTAACGGAAAAGGCACATTTAGCTGAGCTTGACACAGAGCAAATCGTACAAAGATTTCAAACAGTAGACTTCACAGAGGAGACTTTACAGAGTAGATTTCACAGAGTAGGTCGCACTTTTTATCTGCGTAACAGTAAGTACAGCAACACTTACAAAACAACTCAATTATAAAACAAAAATGGCCAGAAATAACAGAGGAAATATACCCTTGACCTTAAACCATGACCTTAAACTAAAGAACTGTGGTCTTCTTTGAAACATACTGAAGTTCAGGCCTATAATAACAACTACACTAACGTTAACGCTGTGTTTTTAAATTCTATTTTAGGCATTTTCTTGGGGTTCACATTGTCTACTTATGTCAAACTCTAGGCTTTATTATCATATTAATCCATCAAAATTCACGATAATGTTTGAAATAGTTATATTACCTTATATATTGTTGAGCTACGTCGGCGACAGCTAGTAAGCTAGCAGTAAGCTAGCGGGTTTTTCGTTAACTTCCGGTCATTTCTTCCATCAAAAACTGCCAAACCAGGATAAACAGCGCCATCTATAGACTTTAGAAAAGATTAAATTAAGTTGCAAACACTTCGTTGCATTTCCTTAAATTAGTTCTCCTCTGCTTGCAGTAAAATAGTTTTGTTGATATTAGTAGTAATAATTAGTGATTACTAAAATATATTAGTAATAAAGTCTTTTGATCATTAATTAACTTGGCAATCTAACTTAATGATTTCCTTTGATGTTAATGTTTTTTTGGTAGAAATGGCAACCTCCGGTAGAATTTTGAAAGACAAAGAAGTGGATGGTTTGCCAAAGTTCCCAGTCCTGCCGCCAATTGACACAAAGGTCGACGCTGTCAAAGAGACATGCATGTTGATTCATCAGAAACTTCAGAAGCGTCGAAAAAAGAAAATGCTAAATGACCAACGTCGATTGTTATTGTAAGTGTTCTGTCAGGTTGGAAACACTTGCAGTTAACTACAATGTTAGCTGGCTAAAGCAGTTGTATTGTATATACTGTCATACAGGGTGTCCAGGGCCACGGCTGCCTATAGACGGTGCTTGGATAACGAACCAGAGAGCTCATCACCAGAGCCACAGTTTCCACCCTCTGTAAGAAATACACAGTTAGACACTGTCTACATAAAATATTATTTATTTCAAGCATCCATCTAACACAGTGTTTTCAAATTTATCACAGATGATCAGTGAAGACCAGATGGAACGGGTTGGTTTACAGGTTTATGCCATTAACAGAGAAATGCTTATGTTTGAGAAATAACATTTGCTTCTCCTATTTTCAGATGAATTATGCATTTTTAAAGAAACGTGTGGAAAGTGGTCCATTTACTCCAATACAACAAGAATGGCTGCACTCCATCACTGGCCGACTCCTGCCTGAACTTAAAAATACTCCAAGAACACAGGCACTGTTACAGGAGCTCTGCACAGAAGTGAGCGAGGACTTCCGTAATGCAATTGTCAAACATACAGGTATTTTTTTATATTTAGTGTCTTTACTCTTAAGTGTGTGTTTGCTACTAATAGAATTGGTTACTTTAATGTATTTTGCTTTTGCATCAGTGGGCTCAATTTTAAAAGAACCACACAAACAGAATACTGAGAAACAGGAAGTTACTTCACTTGAGTAAGTTACACAATAAATGTATCAACCTAGACAACATATTGTAAATATTTTGTCTTGTGCAATAGAATTTTGGATTTCTCACAACCCCGGCACGAAAGCTTTGTCCAAAGCCACAGGAAGATCAAAGCAAATTTGCACATTCTTCATCCAGTGATGCAGATAATACTGGACATCAGTTACACCACATTTTCTCCAATAGTCTTAGCTGATCTTTCAGATTACAGGTAATAAAATGCACTGGGCATAATAACAATGTAATAATGTAATAATAGCATGATTTATTATGTCTAAATTCAGAGTTTCAGGGCCTGTTGACTGTAAAAGTTTACACAATAAAATGGCATTGGAGTGCAAGAGAACAGAAGAGCACATAATGAACACTTGGTTTCCGAAAATTATTCATCTGCTAACCCTAAGAGATACAGTAAAGGGTATTAAAGAAGAGAAGTTGGACTCTTTTTACAACTGTGCATCCACTCTTATGTCCAATCTGGTGAGATTACTGTGTCATTTTTTATGGTTAAGATCAAATACTTGGATATACAGCACATATACTATTTTCTTACATTCAAATTTGTTTATAATATTTTACAGCTTAAGTCCCTGCTTCATAAAAGTGTAGCACAATATGCTAGTCTTTTTGATGAAAAGAATCAGCACAGCCTGCCTTTGTTCAGAATGTCTCTGACATTTGATGATGAAAAGATGGAGATTTACCCAACCTTACAAGATCTAGGGGGAGCCATTTTTGGGATTCTTAATTCAATAACAAGTACACTGCAGGTAAGTGTGGCTCAGACTTCAGGCTCAGAATTAGTTTGAAGAGTTATGTCAAACATTTGTTGTTTATATTTCTAAAGAAAGTACCGACTGTCCAATCATGGCTGGCTCAGTCAACATCTTCATTTGTGGACGCTAAAGTGGCTGATCATATATGGGGTAGTGCTAATGCCATACTGAAGACAGCGGTTGAAAAAAATTTAGAGGAACCCGACAAACATTTCCAGAGTTATGGTAATATTATACAAATTATGTCTTTTTGACAGTATATAAGATTACAATAATTATTTTACACAAAATAATATTTGTTTACCTTTACAGTTGAAAAATATGCATGGCTTGTTAATGGAACTGCACAAACTCAAGTGAAGTTGTTCATGGAGGAGGAGCATTCTTTTGAAGAATATACTCAGGTACTTACTTAAAAATAAGGTAGACTTTACAATAGCTATTATAAATATATATATATTAAAAAACCCGGTCTGATATTTTAAGAAAGTGGAGGAGTTCCATCGTTTGTCCAAAGAGATTATCGACCTTCCAGCCAAAGCCCACTTCACAATGGTCCATCTGGATTGTGAAGAACTAAAGCAGGGACTAGCCAACAAAGCTAAACACTTTGCTGAAGAACTCATCAAGAAACTAGTTAACAATCACAGAGTGCTTAATGTGGAGTAAGTGGTTTAAGTATCAATTTATTACATAAATTACTATATACAATTGGATCCATATGTAATTTATATCACGTTTTCTGTGTGTTTGAAGGATTTGTTCAGAATTTGAAACAATCAAGGAGAATGCTCAGAAAGTACCAGAAAGCACAGAAAAGATGGTTGAAATGATTGAATACATCAACTTTACCAAAACAACAGGTCTCTCACAACTCCAGAAGAAAATATCTGTGAGTAGGCCTACAGTGCTTAGGCTTTAACTAATGATTTATTTTCCTTCATATAACAGTTTGTGTATAATGCTTCTGTACCAGGAATCCCTTAAAAAATTACTGTACCTTGTGGATGTCCACATATTTGAGCCTGATGATCTGAAGCTTCACAAAACTGTATTTCTGTGGCCACAAAACATCATGCAGGCATTTGAACTAAGTGATGAGGTAATCCTCTTCTCTCTCTCCGTATGCTGTAAAATAATTGTTTCTTGTAATATAATACAGAGTTGTTGTTTTTTTTCTAGGTGATAGAGAAAGCTAAGTATAAAGGAAAACATGAGCTGATTGCCACAAGAGAAAAACTAATGGTAGAGTTGACTAAATTAGCCCACAGAATTCTTGATTTCCCAGAATGCTCAGAGCTAGACCTGATTCCACAGGTAAAAAAATACAATTTCATGTAACCAAATATGGTTATGAATATTATGTTTTCTAGGCCTTATATAAAATTTGTCCTAAAACTGGTCTTGTTGCAGTATGTGGCAGATATTAGGATTGTTCAGAAACTGATCCGGGAGGCAGAGGAAACTGTAGAATACATCAATAAAGAAGAAAAAGTTTACGACATGGCGCAAACCAGTTACCCAGAAGTAGCTGCAATTAAAGAGAGCATTGAACCTTACCAGAAACTCTTTGGGCTTGTGCTGGAGTGGCAGCACACAGAAAAAAAGTATGATTTACTGTATGGTTCCTTTTAGTTTATTTATTGTGGTAACAAATATGTGGCATTAATAGTGTCTCTGTTTAGATGGATGGATGGATCTTTCCAGGGCCTGAATGGAGAGAGCATGGAAGTGGAAGTTGATGAATTCTTCAGGAACGTTTTCAAGATGTTAAAGTTTTTCCAACAGAGACAGAGTAAAGCTGGGCAAGAGGGTGCAGAAGATTCAAGCAAAACTGAGAGTCCCACTGCAACTTTGTGCAGTACTGTGTTACAAGAGATCAAAGAGTTTAAGGTAGTAGAAGTAGTAAAAATACTTTAAATGCGTGTTGAAGAACTAAACAATGCATCTTGTATTGTAGGAGCATGTTCCTCTTGTGTCCATTCTCTGTAATCCGGGCATCAGACA